AAACCCCAAACCCCTAAACCCTAGTCAGGGGAGCCTTTGACTCCAAACGGCGAATCGACAAAGCGACGTCTTTGGGACTCCTGGGCGTTGGAGGAATTGGAGCTAAAGGCGAGTAAGGGAGGCTTTTTTTGAGGGTTTAGGGGCTCAGGTGACACTTGTAGGGTTTAGAATGGTTTTGAGGGTTAGCGGCTTAGGGAGTTTAGGGCTTATAGGGCTTGGGGCTTATAGGGTTTGAGAGGGGTCTGAGTCTTGCATCAGGCTGGTGGCTCTACTAGGCTCTGGACCGATACTCTAAGCTCTAACGCATCGCAACCAGGGTGTCGGCCTGTGACGCGAGGGTTTATGACAGCTGCAGGCACGGGCCCAAAGCTTGGAGTCCCTGCTTTCAGAAAGGACCTGCTTTCATGATTTGGGGTTTAGGGTTTAGGGTTTAGGGTAGAAAGGACGGAGGAGCCACCACATATTTGCACATGAAAAATTACACACACACACACACGCACACAGAGTTGGGGGGGACAGAGAGAGAGAGAGAGAGAGAGAGAAGGAGAAGGAGGGACAGGGGCATCATGTCAGTGGGACAGACATACGGTCCGATACGGTCTGACATACATGAGGTCTTGCTTGCTCAGGAGTACAAGATGAAGGTTCCGGCTTAGCGGCAGGATTTCCAGAAAAGTCCGGACCTTCTGGCCATGCGGCAGCCAACACGACCCCAGTCAGTTAAACGACCGTTAACCACACGAGAACATGGTTCGATGAACTGAAGACCATCCTCTACACCGGCTCACACGGGCTGCTATGGCAGATCCCGAGAAGAGCAAATGCCTCGGAAGTCGCAGAGTCCCCAATCCCAAGTGGTCAAGTCGAGACCTGAGGTGCAGGTCCAGCGAACTGCGCAGGACACCGTGGGCTTCTTTCTCCTCTGAGCGTAAGAAGACTAAAGCAGGATTCAAAGAATTGGTAAAGTGGGTAAAGAATAGCCCTGCTCCTCATGAGCTTGTGGTTGTGGGACCGTTCTTCACCCAAAGCGTGGACAAAGGAAGCTTCACGTGCGGCAGAAAGCTTTTGGGATCTTTTGGGTACCAATTCAATGTGAACTCGGCCCTGCGAAAAGCTGTGAAAAGCATCTCCAAGGCCGCCAGCACACCATGACTTTTCACAGATTTTGCAAGGTTCATTGCAGCCTTCCGGGGAGGATTCCCCTCCGAATTCTTCCAGACTGCTGCGTTGAACCACAAATGAAAACAATTCAGGAAATGCTGGGCAGGTGCCCTGGCCCGATGCATCCCTAGCCCTAGGTTTCCCAAGCTTTAAAGCGTGCTTTGCAAATGTGGCACATCCGAGGCAGTGGGAAAGAAGATTTAATTCACCCCCTGAGCCCGAGCCCTTCGCCTACTCTTCGCTGCAGGAGGCAGAAGGCATCCTTCGACAGGCGCTGCAAGAGCTGATTACCGAGGCCAGCGGGGAAGGACAGGCTGTGACGTAAGACTTAGGCTTGTTCCTCAGGAACCTCCGCGAACCCTAAAGTCCAAAAGCCCCCTTAAACCGACACTTCCTGCTGCAGGCAGAAGAGGGTGCACAAGCCTAAACCCATAAATTTAGAGTTATGAAACATCGGGCTTACACGATCATCAAGAAAGAGCGTAAAAAGATACTAATACCAATCCTACTGTACGCCATACCGTTGTGATACTGT